AAGCTTTAGGAAAAAATATTTTAAAATATGCTTGCATGTTATTATTTTTTGCATATTATAATGTACTTTTTTAGTAGTTTTTTTGGGGTGCATTTTTGTGTTTTGTTTTGCAGTACAGGGGGTACTGAGTCCAAGTTTGTGATCCTCCTGCCTCAGCATCTCAGAGTGCTAGAATTACACATGTGTACCACCATACCTGGCTCACGTAGCTCTTTACTAGAAATTTATCAGCATTAGACTCAGAGGTAGAAATGTATACTTAGTGTGATTTAGCCAACTTCAGGTAGATTCATTAAACTTAGGTGAAAGCCATTGCCTCAAATACTTATTAGCCTGTCTAGGGCTTTAAGGTTCCAATTAAATTTAAAATCCAACCAAAATTAAAATTCTACAGTTCTAAATAGCTCTATACACACACATTGAAAATTCCTGCCATTACTGAGAGAGGGAAGTATTTCAAGTGAAGGTCTTTCTGTAGAGTCTAGAGGCGTTAGAAAATAGCCATAATTTTAAGAACTCATTTACTGTTTAGTACATGTGTGCAGTAATGTATCCGACTTTTGTTTCTAAGTGAATTTTATTAGAACTTGAAAGAAAAAAGAAACCCTATTAAAGGTAATGCAATCCATCTTGATCTCAACCCTCTTTACTGCTCAACTATTAGCATTATTCTTCCTCATATGTTAATTTAGGGGTTGGTGAAACCTTGAGCTAAAATGAGACAGGTGCAGTATTAGAACAGAGACAAACGCAAGGCAGGATGCTAGGCAGGCTAAATGGGGATTTGAGTCATGATTTCTATTTTATAAGGAAACTAGATAATAGAAAATGCATTTTTATAAATAACGCATCTGTGAATAAATGACATTAAATAAGATTTTTGTACAGTTTCATTCTGCTGTCATACACAGCTCTCCTGGATTCACTGCATAGGTGACATTAATGACACCTGCAATTTGTATTGAAGAGCACAACTTCACACTCAGAGACCATTGTCCATTTGCTCTTTAGTTCCTGAAACCCCACAAAAGGCAGTATTAGAAGAATACATTTTTGAGATAAGGAAATTATGGCCTAGAATGTTTCTATATATCTTACTCATAATTACATGTACGATTCCCTCTGTTAATGTATGTTTGCATTATTCCAAATGTGCAAAGTCTACAGCCTGGCTATGGAGACTGGTTCACAGCAACTGTCTAGCGGAGCCTTAGGCGAGGAATGCTGTGCAGCGGGTGCTTTCCACCACAGGCTTAGCTGGGCGACTCCTGAACGCCCCCATACCTTACAGAAAAGGCAATGAGTCTCCTGTAAACCACTCCCAGGAGTGTGATGGTGAGTAGCACTATTCCACATACAAGGCCAAAGGCCCATCGCGGCCCCAGGTAACTATACACGTGGCTGATGAACACGGGCCCCAGAATCCGCGCTCCACTTCCGGAAGCAGTTAACCAGCCCATGTACACACCCTGCGCAGGGAAGGACAGAAAAGCAGACAAATGCTCAGGTATCGTTATTTGAAAACAATGCTGCTGTTACCAAACTAGCAAACTCAATCATTTTCTCTACCTTATACTTCTAAAATGAAAGGTCTCTGTAAGTTCAGCCAGTAATAAATAATAAATAACCCCTAGTGAAGTCAGCTTGAGCAAAATAAAAGGAGCATAAAGGGACATCCTCTCACCACACTTTTGGCGCTCATGTGTGCTTGGCAAACGCCCCACCACTGAACTAAGACTTCCGCCATAATGGGAAGGTCTTTAGGGTCTGTTAAAGCGCGGGGAACAACCTACCTTATTAACACACCTTTCCAAGCTAGCATTTATTTTGTGTCTGTTGCATGCTGAACACTTGAGGTAGGTGCTTTACATGTACTGTTTCTAATGTTTGTAAGTTTCAGTGACAGGTGCCATCTCTGTCTCACAAACAGAGAAGCCGAAACTCAGGAAGGTAAACTGTCCAAGAGACTTCGGGCTGCCACTGCCACAACTAGTGTACAAAACTATGTCCCAGTCACCCACCCAAGAATAGTTCATGTAGCATTACTTTGTTGTTGTTTGTGTCATACAGTCCAGACTGGCCTTGAACTCACTGTAGTGTGTAGACCAGGTTGGCCTCAAGCTCTTGGCAAGCTGCCTGCCTCAACCTGGCGAGTGCTGGGGTTACAGGTGTGCACGCACAACCACACTAAGCGTGCTGCATTGCTTTACCAGCCCGAAACTGAAGACATGCTGTCCATGTTGGATTAAGGAGATCCATTACAGCATATTTAAAAACTGGAACGCTAAGCAGCTATTTAAATGAGTAAGGACATATAGGTCATGATCTGAGAATAACATACACACATACACAGAAAATTATATTAAAAGATACCAAAAAAACTAGATATACATGCAATTTAATATTTTATTTTTCTCTAAAGTGTAAATGTGGATATGTCTGAACCGACATAAAATGTCTTAAAGAGTATAAATGAAGCTAACAGCAGTTGACTTGGGTGTGGGAAGGCTATGGGGACTTTTCTATATACTTTGAAGTTATTTGACTTTTGTTATAATCATCAGTATTGCTTTTATAATTAATATTATTTTATTTCTTTTTTGAGACAGGACTCTCAGGTGATCTTCCTGCCTCAGCCTCCCTAGTACATGGGATGTACCCACTAAGTCTTTTAGTCTTAATTTTGAAAAATTGAAAATATAATCTTTAAAGTGAAAATCAAACCCAGGACTTAGTTTGTAGCGCAGTGGCAGAGCACGTTCTTCATAGTTTAAAAACACAGGTAATTAAGTTTTTTCTCTTTATTTGTTTCAACAGAGGAACACTAATATCTGTGCTGAAAATATAAAGCTATCAGTTTAACTTTTTAAGAATGCTAGAGCCTGGTGGCGCATACCCAGCACTCGGGAGGCTGAGGCAGGAGGACTGTTGTGAATTTGAGGCCAGCCTGGACTACATAGTGACCCTATATCAATCAAACAAACAAACAAACAGAGTGCCACAAATGTATTTCATGTAACTGTACTGTCGGGGTAGCTGGCTTACCTGAGGTTTTGGTCCTAGAATTTTTGAATAGAGCGTGTAGGACATCACGTTGCAGGCCGGATAGCCCATTCCGATGAACACAACTGACGTGAAGAACTGAGCCATGTGGATCACTGGGGTGTAGAGGCACCAGGCTTGCTCGATTGGGCATCCAGTCGGTAGTTCGTTCTGATCTTCTCTTGGCAACTTCCAAAGACCAATAATGATTTCCCCAAATGTGGCATTAGGGATTGAGTTATTATGTAAATCTATAAAAACAAAACGAGTACAGTGCATGACCTGTTAATTTTAGACAAACAGTGGGGTAAAGTTATGGAATTATGTGTGTCTATACCTTTCCACTGTATTTTGGGAAACTGATTTCCCCAAGGCAGCAAGATAAAGAAGCCAGCCCATACAACGAGGAGTCCTCCCAGGAGAACAGCACGCTCCCCGAGCCTGCAGGAGAACAGACTGTGACTTCACAATGCAACACTGTACACACAGCTCCTCACCCTTACATTCAAAAACCACAATCCTGATACTGTCAGTGATACATATGAATTAATATGAATGCCAAATATAATTTCCCACTAAAAAGACGGCTTCTCTGGAAAATGACTGTTTTCAGGTCTGGGACGGAAGACCTAGAAGATAACCAGGGACCCTCACAGAGCAGCAAGCAAGACACTCTCAGAGCTGATCAGCTTGCACAGGAAGGGCGCAGGGCCAGCTTGAAGATGGCAAACAACGCAACAGTGTGACACCAAAAGGACAATAAGCGCAGTGGACGGAAACACACAAATGTGTGCTGGGGAACCAACTTGGTAATTTAAAACTCAGCGAATCAAAGGAAAGAATAAGCATTTCTCCTCCCTTCCTTACCACACCTAACAAATGTAAGCACTGTGTAAAGAGATGCCATCCCACACTGTTTAGGAAATAATGACAAGAAAGGGAAGTGTCCACGTTTAATAGAGACACATTTTTTTTCCAGAATATTTTTTAGCTAAAGCTGGTTCAATCCATGAATGTGGCACCTGCAGAGTGGGGGTGCCTGACTCTAGCAGCATTTGGAAGAGTCAGTTACTGGCTCGACAGAGGGCTCAATGGCTACCTGCACCAAAGAAGAGATAAAGAAGACACTGCTTTCAGAGAAGCACAGAGCACTACCTACATTCTTGCAAAAACAAACCTCATTGAGCTACGTCTAGATCCAACTATGGGTTTGCAAGGAACAAAACAGACATAGGAATACACTAAACACTACAGTGATAGAATTGGCAAGATCCAAAGGGGAAGACTACAATTATAATGCAGAAAAATGCAGACATCTTAGTTTCAACTTGTAGGGGAGGGGGAAAGAGTTTTAACTCGTGAAGGAAGTGGGGTTAGGGTAGGGAGAAGGAGGAGAGAAATTAGAAATTATAAAATTAAGTAATCCCAACCAGATTTTCCAAATGTACCCAGTGAATAAACAAATATTACACTGTCTTAATAATTTTAAATGTTTGCAAACTTTCAAGAACTAAAAACTAGCCATAATGAGAGAAAAGCTTTATTTCATTAGCACATTCATTTACATTGCTTCACTTTTAAACATAGATTTGAAACAAAGCCTGCTGGCGATGCACAGCTATGATACCAGCTGCTTGGGAGGCTAAGGCAGGATGATCATAAATTCTTGGCCAGCCTTGGCAATTTTGAGAAATCCTATTTCAAAATTTAAAAATAAATTAAAATGGGGGATAGGTATATAGCTCAGTGTGAGGACCTGAGTTCAATCCCAAGTACCGCAAAAAAAAAAAAAAAAAAAAGAAAAGAGAGAGAGATTGCTTTGAAATAAAACTAAAAGCACAGAACTTACATTTTGGAAAGTAATTTAACCCCCATGAAAACAACAACTGCTTCAACACCAAGCCCAGCGAGTATGATCCCGTTATATAACACAGCCTGTTCTTGAGTCCAAGCATACATATCCATTGTTAATGGAGTAAGGATCCTAAGGAACAAAAAGGTTATTTTACTTTAATCCTGGTAATAATTAAAGGAGAAGCTTTACTGATACATACACATTCAAGAATTTGTAACCCTTTTAACAGTGACAGCAGACTGATGGAAGCAAAAATATGAACACATTTTAAACACATTTTGTTGCTACATACTTAAGCTTGACTGTGTTTGTATTTATATAAGTAATGTAGCTACACTGCAAAAAGTCTGGAAAATAGGAAAAGAAAACAAGCAAAACCAGTCATAACTCCTGCCACTATAATATAACTAAATAAGCAGGTGATACTTGGGCTTAAATTAATTTCATTTCCCAGATGAGAGTGGTGGCACTTGCCTGGGATCCCAGCACTCAGGAAGCTGAGGGAGGAGACTGCTGTGAGTTCAAGGAGCCTAAGCTACAGAGTGAGACCTTGTCTCAAAAAACCATCCATTAATCTCTTTTCTTACAGTAGTACTTTGAACTTTTGGGCATTCAGCTGCCAGTGCCGGCTTCCCTTTGGGGAGCTATGCCTACACAGTTACCAGTGTTCCCCTTTAAGCAGTGTCTGTCTGCACAAATTTAAAATTTAAAGTCATCATCTTTTTCAAAATCCGAAAATGGTTGCAGTTCTGGTGGAAGTCCTTTTTATTATTTTTTCTTCCTCCAGTACTGGAGATTGATCCCAGAGCCATCACATGGAGCTACATGCACAGCCACCTCTGTTTCTAGGTTTATGCACCAAAGAATAGAGGGCCAAGCCTCAGATATCTGTACATCAATGCTCACAGCAGCACTATTCAAAACAACCAAAAGGTGAAAACCAAGTGTCGGCCAATGGAGGAATGAGGAAATATAGTAAAACACTTGCAATGGAACGTTATTCGCCATAGAGCTGTGAACATCAGCTATATGCTGCATGATGGACTTGCAAATATTGTTAAGTGAAACAAGGCAAACACGAAAGGAGAATAATGTATGATCCCTCTTACACAAAGTACCTAAAACAGGCAATTCAGAAGACAGGAGACAGAACAGAGGTCACCAGTGTCAGAGGGGAGGGAATGGGAAGTAAATCGGTAGTAGGTTTAGAGTTTTTCTTTGGGACAATGAAGTTTCTGGAAATGGACAGTTGCAACAACACTGACCTGCACTGAATTATATTCATTTTTTTGGTCTTTTTGAGACAGGATCTCACTATGTAGTTCAGGCTGGCCTTGAACTCATTATGTAGCCCAGGTCTGTAATCCCAGCACTCTGGGATGCTGAGGCAGGAGGACTGTAAGTTTGAGTTTAGCCTTGGGAATTTGGCAACTGAGCAACAGCCTGTATAAAAAACTAAAAAAGGTCTGGGATTGTAGCTCAGTGCAAAGACCCTGGTTCAATCCTCAGTACTAGAAAAAAAAAAATTGTAAACAGTAGATGCCCTCCCAAAATAAGATGAGCTAAAATAAAATGTTCATTCAGCTCAATAATTCTGAAAGTAAATACATCAAGCAAAATCTACATGTACTGACATAAAAAATGTCACAATATACTGATAAGTGAATAAGGCAAGATGTCAAATGGTAATGTCATTTAGTCTATGTGAATTTGGCAGATATTTCCTCTCTCTCTCTCTGTCCCAGAGTTGCATAGAATAAAATGTTTAAAAACACAAACTGAACTATTAGCAGTTACCACCACAGAACGGAGCAGATGTGGAAGCACAGTTGTAATATCTGGGATTTTATAGGAATATACTATTTGTATAATTTAACAGGTATTTTTAAAATGAAAAAGCCCTACAATAAACAGAAGTCAATGAAGCCTATATCTGACTTAGAGATTTTGTAATATGTTAGTTCTTTGTTTTTAAGATTAAGGATTAAAAAGAGTTAAAATTGCCAGACTAAATGCTGTATACATAAGTTGGGAGTTATACAGCTTAATTAAATCACGATACATAAACTTTCCACACTGTGATAAGAAAAATATGCCTTACATAAAGTTTCTCCTAACACCGATACACCTAATTAGCACTGCATTAAGTAATAAGGTTAATATATAATCTGATTTACATGAAGACAGAATAAAACTTACGTTTCAAAAAGGGCAAAGATAAACAGAACCACAAAAAAGAGAACATTGGTGGCCACAACAGCGACTTGATCAATATTTCCTTGTGAAATCTGAATTTCTTCTGTGTTTGCTAGAGGTATATAGGAAAAAGAATATTGTTACCTATGTATCTAATTTTTCTTATGATATTAAATTAATATAGAAATTATATGTGGATAAATATTTAGATCATTTTAAGGTTCCAATGCTGTTTAAAATGAACAGAACTTAGCCTGGCACGGTAACGCACACCTGTGATCCTAGCACTTGGAAGGCTGAGGCATACTGCACTGGGTCTAGTCTGGGTTACACAGTGAGTTTAAGGCCAACCTGTACTACACAGTGACACTTGTCTCAAAAATAAAACAAAAAACACAGAACAGAATTTATATGGCAGAATTTTTAAATAACATTTAAAAGCCGGGCGTGGTGGTGCACGCCTGTTATCCCAGCACTTGGGAGGCTGAGGCAGGAGAATCGTTATGAGTTCAAGGCCAGCCTGGCCTACAAAGTGAGCTCAACACCAGCCTGAATTGAATAGCATGACCCTGTCTCAAAAAGACTAAATAAATGAATAAATAAATAACATTTAAAAATAAATTCTTTCTAGGAGATAAACATATTATGTACAGCAATTACTCATTTATTTTCTTAGGTGTCTCTCAATCACAAATAATGTCTATAACACCAGCACTTGGAAGGATGAGGCAGGAGGATCACCGTGATTTTGAGGTCAGTCAATTTGGGGCCTCCCTGCACTACATGGTGAGACCCTGTCTCAAAAAAAAAAAAAAAAAAAAAAAAAAGTATTTTATGTAATTCTATAACATAGTGATTTCATACTTGAAATTTCAGTTGCAGGTGTTTTTTCCTACTTTAACTTTTTTGTGTGTGGCACTGGGGATTGAACACAGAGCTTCATTCTTGCTAGAACAATTACTCTATCACTGAGCTGTTTCTAGACTTTTAGATTTTTTTAATCTTGAGACAAGGTCTCACTAATTTGTCTAGGCTGGTCTTGAAGTTGTAATCCTCCTGCTTCAGCCTCCTAAGAAAACAGGATACTGGTTTGATGAGCCACCACAAAACATACTGACTTTTTTTATTTTAAAGAGAAGAAAAACTTTTTTAAAAACATTAAAAACAATACAGAATTTCAAAACAAGATAATAGAAAATTCACAATGGTTGTTATATTGCATATTGTTATCTTCAAAGCAGTTGTTCAGATTACCAGATATAGGCATGCAAAATTGATCAAAACAATAAGCATTAGCTATTCCTTCAATAAGCCAATAAAAATTAGTAGTACAATTATGTTAGCTATCTTGTGTATGTATATATATTTTTTTCTCTCTTCCTTCTTTTTTCCTTTCCCTTATCCCAGTTGTTCTTTCCGTTTGAACAGTTTCTTTCCCTTCCACAATATCTATTGTATGTTTCAGACTTTATTTACTCTTTCAGTTTCTTACATTAGGGAGACAATACAATGTTTATACATATGGGTCTGATTTATTTCACTTATGAGTATCGTCTTTAGTTGCATCCATTTACCTATAAAAGCCTCGAGTTTATCTTTCATTATAGCTGAGTAGTCCTCCATTATATAAAAATAGCACATCTTTTTTATCCATTCCTCAGTTAATGAACATCTGGGTTGTTTCCAAGATTTAGCTATGATGAATTGCGCTGCTATAAACATGGGTGCACATATATTGCTGTGGTATGATGTTTTCAATTCTTGGGAAAATATCCAGAAGGAGAATAGCTGGGTTGAACAGGACCTCTAATCCTAGTTTTCTGAGCAATCTCCACACTGATTTCCCCAGTGGTTGTGCCAGTCTACAACCCCACCAACAGTGGAGGAGCGTTCCTTTTCCCCACTAGGAGATGGGTAGATCTCCTTAGTGAACTCAGCCTAGAGCCAGGTGGGAACACACCGCTGTAAGTGCAGAATTTTGGGAGCTGGGGCAAGAGGGTCACAAGTTCAAGGCCAGTGAGGGCAACTTGGTGACTTAGTGAGACTCTGTCTCAACATAAAGGGCTGGAGAGGCCCTTGGTTCAAATCCCAGTACTGCAAAAACTAGCTAAATAACTAAATAAATGGCTGGGATGCAGCTCACTGAGAAAGGCCTGGGCTCAATTCCCGGTGTTATCTACAAAATCGATCAATTTAGGTATCTTTTAGCTTTCAGTATCTTCCCCACACACCCACTGCATTAGTCTCAGAAGAAAAATCCAAATAAATACTAAATAGACACAATCATTAGAAGCACTCTGATAATGTTAAAGTAACTTAGTCGAGTAAATTAACAGTACCTGCTTCAAAATTAATACTGTTACACGGTCGTCCCGAGTCATCCACACGATGTTCTCTTAAAAAAAAATACATGAACATTGTGTTTATAAAACGCTCAGTATAATATAGAAAAATGGTTTAAATTCATTAGTAGCATTCTATTTTCTTTTCATGGTGTCAAAAGCTCATTTGAAAAGTGAGGGGTGAACGGGTATGGGAGAAACCAGCTCTGCAGAGTGAACTTGGGCAGAAGAAGAGAAAAAGAAGATAAAAGCACATGTAGCATCTGAGAAAAGAGGCACAGGCTACCATGGGGACTCGTGATAGCCAGGGTTCTAATTGTTGACATTCTTATATCATTTCTTTTATTACTAATGAATCTCAACAATAAACTTTAAAAGACAAGTTGGATTTTTTGGGTTTTGTGGTACTAAGGACTGTACCCAGGGCTTATATACTGGGCTGTATTCCAGCCCTTTTTTTATTTTTCATTTTGAGACAGTCTCATGAAGTTACCCCGGCTGGAGCTCAAACTTGCAATCCTGCCGCACATCTCAGAGCTCTGGGATTACAGATATGAGCCACCACTCCCAGCTATAATTCTTATCATAGTAACATAAAAAATGAAAAAGGTACCTAACTCATCTAAAGGCATACATATATGGTCCACTATATGTGATCTACCTTGAAACTTTTCAGTGACTTTAAACATTATTTATAAATGGTTTTAGACAGTTGGGTAAGGCATCCTTGTATAAAATAACACAACTTCTACACTTTTGGAAAATTTCTTCTAATAAATAAAATATAAGAGATACGTAACTGATGTATATCAGGCTGATACTAAGGCATTAACCTACTGAAGGTGTTTTCATGCCATTCCATTTCATGCCATTAGTAAATCAAGATCAAACGTTGAATCTCAAAAGATCTTCATAACCTGTTCTCATTTACCAAGTTGTCTATTATTGTAGATGCCCATACTTTAGCTGATCAAAAATTATGAACTAACAACATCAGAAGTAAAGATTGCATAAGGGTAATTATCCTCCAATAACGAAAAGACTTCTTTCACAATCTACAAAGTTGCTTACCATTTCTGTCTAGTTACCTTAATACAGCAAGGATCAGAATAATATTTAAAACTCCCAGGAAGGCGCCAAGTAAAACCGGTGCAGTGTACATGTTTATCTGCAGCTTAATCGTATCCCATGTCACACCCTTTTCTCCAATGAGTGCAAAACAAGTCTGAAAAACTTATTAAAATGTAGACAGATGAATTATTATATTGGAAAACAGGCTAATAAAATATAAAACACCACTGAATTGGAAGTAACATGAAATCATCTATCAACAGGGGCAAGAAAACTAGTTTTTTGTTCTATACACTTCATGTATAAAGCACAGACGTACATATAAACATACATGTCTGACAGATTGTTAAATTATTAGAATTTCATAGGGGATACCTCCTTTTTCCCTTCGGCCACAAGGCTTTATACCTGCATTACATATAACATTTGAATCTCAAAAGTTTTCCCAGGAAGGGAAGAAGGAAAGGAGGTGGAAAAAAGGAATTAAGATGTATTATGTAAGTGGACCAATTCCCCACAAGGAACACAAACATACACTACAAACGTACCAATTGACAACTTTTTCTCAATTTAAATGTTACAAATTACAAGTGAGAAACACCTACCTGGACCTAGAATAAAACCTAATGCTTGACATGTGCTTGTATTTGCCATGGAACTTGTTCTTTCCTGAAGGGAAGTAGCCCCAGCAACATATGATCTGACAACTGCTACATTTCCTAAGAAAAGACACAATAATCCAGAGTAAACACGAATGTCTTTTGGTTTATAAAATTCAATATAATTTGGCTTTATTCAGAAGACGAACTGGCCAACCGTATGGTCACTTCCTCCCCTTTTACAGTCATACAACACATGTAAGATATTTTTATTGAACAAATGCATGAATTCATGGGACATAGTACTTTTAATAACATAAAATTACACTTAAATGAATGAAAAATGGCATCACAAAAATATAAAAAAAAGAGTATCACACTTTAAATACTCAGAAAGCTCTGACTGAATGGCATAGTAGTTATTGCTACATCCATTTTTAAAAGAGAGGTGTCACAAACTACATGCAAAGATCTGTGATACAAGAAACAGAAAAAAATCCACTAACAATTTAACTCAAAATTTTTATTCAGGGCTGATAAGAGACTGTGCTAGGAGCCACAGAATATTAAACAGTATCATAAATTGCTTCAAATTGCAAAAAGTTTACTAATTAGTGACAAAGGATGAAAACAGTGCAAGATTCAAAGCAGGTGTCAGAGACACAATAGGAGAAAATCATCTATTAAGGAGCAGGGTAGCCAGAGAAGGCTTCATGTAAGATATGGAACTTAACCTGCATCTTGAAGGATAAAGAACAATAACAGCAAAAAAGAGAACCTATCGGTAATGGGCATCATGAACAAAGGCACAAGGATGGGACAGCTATTGTATCTTTTTAAGGAGAGATCTGTATTTGAGCTCTAGGGTATGAGACTAAGAAGAAATGAGGCCAGATAAGAGAGGACCACAAGGGGCTGGGGATTTAGCTCAGCGGCACAGTGCCTGCCTGGCAAGTGCAAGGTCGTGAGTTCGATTCCCGGTACCGGGGAAAAAAAAAACAACAAAGAAAAAGAGAAGGCCACAAATATTGGAATGAATGTAAACTTGACATGACCAAACATACACAAACAAATATATTACCTGCTCCAAATCCCACCAATCCACGAGCGATCAACATGTAGTATTTATTATGAGAAGCTGGGACATGGACATAGGCATAGAGGCAGTTGGCTACCACCGAAATAAAGATGGAGATGACAAGAGGTTCTTTTCTTGGCCTATAATTAGACCATAAACCAAATATAGGTGAAGCTACCATCTGGCCAAGACTAAACGAAGCAATAACCCAGCCCAAAAAACGTGCATCGGCTGTCTGATCAATCTGCAGAGAAACACACATACAATGCTTTAAGAACTGTTATCCAACGAAGTTGAAAACCTTGCACATTTGTCTGAACATGTAAAAGGTCCTAATAAAAAGTAAAAATGATTCTAACATAGAGGTTTTCTATAGTAAAGGATTTAAACTTCTGACAGTACAATTAAATGTGCTAACAATGAACCGAAACAAGGAAAAAAATGCCTCTCTCGCTACTCTGCTCTTTTCATTTTTTAAAATGATTAAAGAAATTAATAGTTCACCAAACCTTGTTAAGATAATTACTATATATACAAATATATATCAATACCTATATAAACTATAATGTGAGATATTCTTTAAATCTTATGAATATAATTCTTGAGATTTATACTTTCCCATAAACAAAACAGCCATTAGCGTTATATTTTTTTAAAGCTGGGTACAACAGTCGAATGTATAAAACACAAAAGTTATAGTCATTTTCCTTATTAAAACTATTACTAATTTTTCTACCTATACAAGTGAGGATCTCAGCCACTTAGAAGTTCTGGCTTTTTGTTTTGGGATTTTATTTTTTGTTTTTACAGTGCTGGGGATCGAACCCAGCAACTCATGCACTCTAGGCATATCCTTTACCACTGAGCTACAACCCGAGCCATAAAGAAGGTTTAAATATCGTGATGAACACTGAAGGAAGAATCAAATGACCAAAATTTGGAAAAAAATACTTTCAGAGAAAACCTTTAGCTTAAGAAAATGAACTATTAGCCGGGCGTCGTGGCCAACGCCTATAATCCCAGCACTCAGGAAGCTGAAGCAGGAGAATCGTGAGTTTGAGGCCAGTCTGGGCTACAAAATGAGATCAAGGCCAGCCTCAACTGCATAGTGAGATGCTGTCTCAAAAAGAAAAAGGAAGAAAAAAAAACAGAGAAAAAAGAAAACAGACTCTGGTGGTAAATCATTTAGGGCCCCTCCTGTCTCTCAGGAGCTATTCCTAGTCCCCATTCCTTTTCTCCAATAAATTTTCCTAGTCTTAAAAAAAAAAGAAAAAGAAAAAGAGAAAGAAAAAGAAAATGGACGATGGTATAAATCAAAAGATGTTTTAAATGTAGTAAACTACAGTTTGGAAAAGTGACCATTAATTTTTAGAAAATCCCTTCAAACAAAGGCAAGTGCAAAGAAAATCATGGGCTTCTCTTTCCTAAAGATATTTTTAGGTAGTTTAAAACAGAAACATTTAAGTAAAGCCAAGGGAGGTGGTGCACGCCTATAATTCCAGCAGTTGGGAGGCTGAGGCAGGACGATCACTGTGAGTTTGAGCCAGTCTGGGTTACACAGTGAATTCGAGGCCAGCCTGGACTACATAGCAAGACCTTGTCTCAAAAAGCAAACAAACAAACAAACAAAAAGAGTATCTTCAGTTTAGGTACCTGGTTTTCATTTTCTACTCAGGAATATTACTTTTAGTTTGTTTAGCCTTCTCTATTAAATACAAACTAATAATTTCATATCATATAAAAATTCTCAAAATAGCAATGAAAACTCAATTTAACTGTTAACTGTTTAGTGATAAGAAGACACATAAAAAGTATCTTCTCAGGATATCAGCCAATCATAGTCAAGAGCTCACTTTATGAAGAGAAGTGAGCTGACCCTTGGGGATGGCTCTAACAATATATCTGCTAGAGCCTGGAAGAAACCTCCCTTTTAACTGGATACTACTCTTTCTAGTGCCTGGAAAGCTGCCATCTGCCCGAACTGTAACAAGAAAGTAAAATGCTCTGGGAGACACTGACTACAGCAGACATCCCCAGGCACTGTTACCTGTGCTTCAGAAGTTTCCCTCCCTCTTAGGACAGGAACAGCACGTGCTGTCTTTGGTCCTCTGTCTAGCTCTGACGAGCTCTATCATGGTATAAATGGAATCAAACTGAAACCAGTTATTATTAAGCAGCAGATCAAAAGCTAAGCTGTCTCTCTAGCCTCCTCTCTCTGCATGCTCTTTATTCCCAATTCTATCTTCCAGTGGAGAAACAGGTTTCCAAGCTGAGCCAACTTCCAGGCTTCCGGGCCTTTCTGCACGGGCTGCTCCAGGCCCCTTCTCGCTGAGGGCCCTCCTGACCCCCACACCCTGGCCGCCTCGTTGCCTTCAGCTCACCATCTTCTGCAGGGCCTCAAAACTCAGCACACGCTTAATGGTTTTGCAAAGTCCCCATTCCATCTTCATTGGGATCAACAATACCCCAAGCCGCCCCAATACCCTCTCTCATGTGTGAACACACCAACGCATGCTTTTAGATTTCTCCCTGTTTGTAATATTGCAAAGTAATTATCTGTCACCTTGCTTAGTTGTGCTCACTTCTGGTAAAGTATCTAGGGCTTCTTTAAAAATTAAAAACAAAAAAATAAACCCCATAGTATACTGAACTTCAAAATATTCTTCTCTAAAAATGTAGTAACACTGACATCAAAGTTCCAGAAATACCAGTGCTTTGTCCTGAGAACGCAGGCATACAGATGGATATTCCAAACTCAACTACAGTATTTTCTTATAGATCATGGCTCACTTATTCAATTAACAGTCATTGAGGCTGCCAAGTATGGTGGCGCACACCTGTAATCCCAGCATTTGGGAGGCTGAGGCAGGAGGCTTGTCATGAGTTTGGGGCCAGCCTGGGTTACAGAGTGAGTTCAAGGCCAGCCTGGGCTGCATAGCAAGATCCTGTCTTTAAAAGCCACACATGGGCCAGGGATAGAGCTCAACTGCACAACACCTGCCTGGCAAGCATGAGGTCATGAGTTCGATTCCTGGTACCAAAATGAAAAGAAAAAACCAGAATGTGAGTCTTCCTGGAATTAACCTCACCTTTGGGCAACACATCCTGAGGAATCACATCACTGCTTCCTACCAATGGGCCAGGGCCAGCAAGTACAAACTCAGAGTACCACCAGATTTGTCTTGAGGAAGAGAGATTTTGATGAGCTTTGAACTATTACGCACATGGCTTTTAAATCTGGCTATGTATTGCAACATACTATTCTACCTGTAAGATATGGTTACCTTAAATTAAGAATTTAAAATACTCAAGGTAGTAGATACCACAGAACTGTGGTGAAGAGTCAGGTTTTCATTTCAGATAGGCTTGGCTCTAATTTCTGTAGCTGTGTGACCTTGGGCAAAGAACTTTTCTTCTCAGCCGGAATTCTCCATCTGTCAAACAGGACTGACAACTTGGTGCCGTGCCTGGCTCACAATCATCTCTGAGAGTATCATGAAATCTCTTGAGAGAATTGATACTGTTTTTAACTTTTTTGTTTTTGAGGGAGATTCCTGCTGTGTAATCCAAGCTAACCTTAAACTATGTAGCAGAAGCTGGCCTAGAACTCAAGATCCTCCTGCCTCAGCCTCTTGAGTGCTGGAATTACAGGTATGTGCCACCACGGCTGGCCAGAAAAGTTATATTTATATTGCTAAAAGGACAGTCATCAGTTTACATACTCAATTATCTTACCTTTGAAAACCATGAAAAGGATCATACCTTTTCAAAATTCAGCATACTGTGCTGAGTAAAACTAAATCCTTGCAGGCATGCTTTTTTTTTTAGACTTTGGGAGCTTAAGAAGAGTGGATAAAAGCGGGGAAATGAAAGGAATTTGATACATAGAAATGCTTTTTAAATAAAAAAATTTATGAGAATAGTCTTATTTTTTTCTTTCAGAATAATTTTATACTCACAGAAAAATATATAAATATGCATACTATAAAGAGATCCCATCCATTCCACACCTGGTTCCCATATTATATCCCATAGCACTTACACTTTATTAGGTATAACAGGCAATCTACAGATGATTAGAGTTTACAGGATGACGTAAGCAGATGAAATACATCATTTTATAAAAGGGACTCACTGGAGCATCCAGACTCTGGCAACCTTGGGGCGTGGACTAGAAACCAATTCCCCAGGATTACCAAGTGACAACTGCACATTACCTATTCTTCTCACAATGTTATCTGACAACCCAAATTAATTCCATGAAAAAAACACGGAAGTATTCCTCAGAATTATCAATTATATCTTATAGAGATTCAGAATATCTCTAGTTCAGTTTCCCTTTTTATTCGGAAGAGTAGTGAGAGGATGTGAAAGCAGCTTCCAAGCCCAGAGCTATGCATTACACGTCTCCACAGCCTGTGACTGTCCAGAACAGCCTGTTGTCCTGGTCTAGCACCACTTTTACTCCAGCTGTGCTCTGCTTGGAACAATAAAGTACAGGGCCACCTTCCTAGCCCTTCTAAGGAACTATTCTCTCATGCTACTGCAGTAAAGTTAAACTACAGAGTACCAAACAGATGCTCTAGAAAAGGCTTAAGTACATAAGAGTTACTAGTACAGTTACTTCAGAGAAGAATAGATTGAAATGTACAAACCTTTTGGAGATAAGGCCAGATTGACATTATCACAATAGAAAACCCTGTGAAGAGGCAAACTTTGTTATTTATGATTATATTTTAATCACTATCACACAGAAAACTTTCAGAACTATAGCATGGATTTTAAAATATCATCCTGAATCTACAAATATATGCACATCAATCCTTAATTTATCAAGCAATGAGATTTCAATTATCAGAAGAAAAATATTAAAGGTTTGAAAAGAACATACAATTGTATTTTCTAAACAGTAATACAATAACAGTTGAGGCCCTATTTCTCCTTGCTAATAATATACCTTTATTATAAAATAGAAATTACTAAAAGTTTGAAGTTTTTATAACAGAAATAAATGAGAGAATGGCCACACTGTTATGAAGTGCTAGCCTTGCAGTCTGTGCTGTTTGAAAGAAAGAATTCACTAGGGGAGACTAGAAAGTAGAAAAATGTTCATCTAAATAAAGGAGGCAGTTGCTATAAAAAACTAGAATTGTTCAAGATGACCGTTCCTTAAAAAAAAAAAAATCTGGGCTGGGGATTTAGCTCAGCGGCAAAGGCGCCTGCCTGGCAAGTGCAAGGTCGTGAGTTCGGTTTCTGGTACTGGAGAAAACCCCCAAAAAAAATTAAAAAAAAAAAAATCTATTGAGCTGGGCGTGCTGGTACCCACCTATAATCCTAGCACTCAGGAGGCTGAGGCAGGAGGATCATTGTGTGTTTGAGACCTGCCTGGGCTACAAAGTGAGCTCAAGGCCAGCCTGAACTGCATAGTGAGACCCTGCCTCAGAAAGACCAAAAAAAATCTTATCTCTGCTGGCCTTTACTGCTTAAGAAATGTCATGATATGGTCCAACACCCTTTGTCAGTTTTACACAAATTTAAAAGTTAGATAAAGCCAGACAGAGATTCTGGAAAGCCTACTTTCAAAATAGATTTATTGAGATACAATTCACAAGCCATGCAATTGACCCATTTAAAGTACACAATTCAACGGGATTTAGTATAATCACAGATATGCACAACCATCACTGTAGTCGATTTCAGAACATTTCATCATTTGGAAGAGATGGGGACATCACCCTGAGATTACCCTTAACCTCCTCTCCCACCAACCCAAAGCAACCCACCACCAATGTACTTTCTATAGATGCTCCTATTTTCAACTTTCCTATGAACAGGCTCACATCTGTGGTCTATGTCTGGCTTCTTTCATTTAGTACAATGTTTTCAAATTCATCTATGTTAGTAGCAAATGTCAGTAAATAATTCATTCCTTTTATAAAACCTTGTTTCTAAATATTTAATTAGTTTCATTGTTATGTCTTTTTGATTGACACACTGATTTTGATGAATAAAAGGACTGAAAGAATCTGAAATCGAGATAATAGTTCTGCAATAAAGAAACCTGTAAACAAGTAAAACATTCAACATGACAATTAAAATCTACAGTTAAAGGGCAGGGCTGTATAGCTCAATGGTAAGGTACTTGTCCATCATGCTCCAGAGCCTGCAGTCAATACCTAGGACAGCCCTCCGCCCCTGCAGAAAAAGACTGGTGAGGATGTGGAAAAACTGGAACCCTGCCTGTTGGTGGGAATATAAAATGGTGGAGCTGTTATGAGAATTCCTCAAAAAAAATAAAAATAAAATCATCATATGATTCAGCAGTTTCACTTCTAGGTAGGCACACGAAAGAACTAAACCCAGGATCTTGAAGAGCTATTTTCACATCCATGTTCATGGCAGCACTATTCACAATAGCTAAGAAATGGGAAAAAACAATGTTATCAACAGATGAATGGATAAACAAAATGTGGTATATTATGAAGGGGATCAGAATATGACATCCCCAAAATATGCTTCTTTGGCACATTGATTATGTTGAGCTGAAGGCAACCGAAGAACAGCGGATTCTGGATATAGTAGCACATGCCTGTGATCCTGTAATCCCAGCACTCAAGAGACTGAGGCAAGAAGATTATGAGTCTGAGGCCAGCCGGGGCCACACAGCAAGTCTGAGACCAACCTGGACTACACAATGAGACCCTGTGACAAAATGAGAGA